AATGGTTCGTTAATGTTGCGGACTTTTCACTCCAAATCGCTGCTAGCCGTGCATACATAATGTATTTTAATATAATAACAATAGCCAGGTGAGCAGCCGCCCAAAAGGTAGCGAACGAAATTAATTGAAAACAAGAGGAAACGCTATAGTCGAGTGCCGCGACTATAAGATACCCGTTACTGTTTTACACAATTTTAAAATATTAATTTTGCTAGTGGAAATTCACAAGGCGCCACCTATTGTCAGAGGAAGTATGTTGAGTATGCTTATAGTGACGTCACTTCCCATGTGAGGCCTTATAACCTTAATTTCTTCATAAATAGCGCAATAATGTTCCGATTTGAAAAACCTTTGGCAAATCGATAGATATTAACAGAAATAAGTTATACAAGGTCAAACAAAGGCATTCATAATAATATTATAGACGCCACAGTTTTCCGCGGTTTGTAGGCGTTAGAGTGGGCGTGGCCTAATGCAACTTCGTGGCAAGTTGCAGAGGCATCTACTAAATATGTGTTTCTAAGCAAAATTGTGTAGCTCTTATAGTTTTTGAGATTTTTGCATTTTTGGTTTTTCGGATTTTGTGGGCGTTAGAGTGGGCGTGGCTTGATCGGAAAAAAACAATTCGCATTGGGAGCATCATAGAAACCTACATGCTTAATCCGAACTTTCTATTACGAATAGTTACCGAGATATCAGCTTTTCTAGAAAATCCGAAAACCGTCTTTTGAGCCTTGTGGGCGTATGGGTGGGTGAGGCCGGATAGTAGTACTACTATAAGATGCGCTGTCATCTAAAGATTATACTTTCTGAATTTCAACTTTCTAACTGCAATAGTTCCTATGATTTCAGTAATTTTAGTTTTTTGCGATTTGTGGGCGTTAGAGTGGGCGTGGCAGGATGCTGTAATAAACTTGCGCTGTCCCGGGACCTCAAGAATCTTCATGCTTAATCTCAACTTTGTATCTGCTATAGTTCCTGAGATCTCAGCGTTCATACGGACGGACGGACGGACGGACGGACGGACGGACGGACGGACGGACGGACGGACGGACGGACGGACGGACGGACAGACGGACATGGCTCAATCGACTTCGCTATTGATCCTGATCAAGAATATATATACTTTATAGGGTCGCAAAAGCTTCCTTCTATCTGTTACATACTTTTCAACGAATCTAGTATACCCTTTTACTCTACGAGTAACGGGTATAATCAAGCAGATTAATTAATTTCGGATATTGTTAGAGAGAAAATAAAAACATTTTTCTCCTTAATTAACTGCTGTAAATTGAAAATTAGTTTTTAAGGCTTTATTATCTTACAATTAGTGTGGAATAAATAGGTGATTAGTATGTATTTATAAATCATCACAAAAATATAATTAAGAGCAGTTTAGCTAAAAAACGGAAGTATATTAATTGATTACATCTAAAAAAATTTATAAATGTATACAAAGGCAATATGTACGCTTAATTTAAAACGACTTTTTCTACACATTCAGGGCCATTATTCAAGCAGAAAAGCTGTCAATCGAAACTAATTGAATTGAAATTAAAAATACATATTATTTAAATTACAAACTTACGAAAAGAAAATAACAAATAATTATTAAATACCTTAACTTAAATTTGTCTATATTTCATTTCAAATTTAACTTGCAATCTGTTGAATTTATAGTTGAAATAAAACAAAGCGCTTTCATGAAAGTCAAAGCTTGTTCTCATGAATTTTACTCCCAGTACTTATCAACTGCAGTTAAAGTTCTGTGATAGTCTGAAAATGCATTCAAATCTCTAGCACGCCATAAGCAATAATCATCAGCCAGTAGTTTGGTGTGGTTTGGTTTTATTGCCTTTATATATTTATATACTTCCATCTGAAAACATGGGGGAAACCTGCTGCTAAGGGTTTGACTTTCCATTTCATTCAGACATATGTACCAAAAGTAAAACACCATGTTCCCCCACTTTCTTTAGTGCCTCGTTTATGGGTTTGCCCCCTTTTCAGCAGACAACCATCGATGTGCATTCGAATCCTTTGCTGTCGCATTTGGCACGCGTCTTGGCCACGGATCATCAGGTGCACAAATGTATTCCGTCGCCCGTTGCCAATTGTTATTCGTTGTTTGGGCTCGTTGTTGTTGGCCATGATTGGTTTTTATTGTTGCCGTTGTCGACACACGAACACCTTTGGCACACCGGGCACACAGAGAGACATTGAGACAGAGTTTCCTCTCGAAGAGGGGAATCCCCGCGAACAGGGACCAGTCCACATGCAAGCTGCTTTGCATAAGAACCGGTTCCCCTCGTGGATTTAACGTTTTTCCTCTCTTATTTTCGTTTCGTTTTAAATTGATTGGAGGATTTAATTTCAGTGGCAGCTGCCGTTGCTACCGAAGCTGAACAAATGTCGGCTGTTAAACACCTTTTATTTATTTTTTTTATTTTTGGGTCTGGTCAAGCCTTTGCACTAAATTACCGTAAATTTTTCCTGCCTCCTCTGACGGGATCAGTTTTGGTGTTTTTGTATAATTTTGCACATGTTGTGTAATACGAAATGATGGATGAAAATGCTGGCAATAGTGTGGAGTATCATTTTACTTTGGGCTATATTGATGACAGCATTTTGAGTTGTAGTGCAGAAATAAAGTAAACGAATAAACGGATTTCTGCATGCATACAAGACTATTGAATTTAAAACATACTCCTCTTTCAATATTTGTAAATTACTAAAATTTTAATGAAGAAATAGTGACAAAATAGTAATTTAAATATATTTCTTTAAAATACTTTTCTAAATGAAATTACTTACTGCCAAAAGAATTGTTAAAAAAGTATATAACATTAAACAATGCCTGCTAGTTTGATATAGCTACTTTTTATGCACTTAACCCCAAGTGAAAACCACAATGAGAAAAGTCGAGAAAAAATTACGGTTCAATTTGTGCATTTTATTGTCATGAATCATTTGGATTATTATGAATAACTTTTGAGTGGCAGTTGCAGCTTTTTGCGTGCTGAAATTAATTAAGTCTGCAATGCCATGACAACAAGAGGCAGTATGCGGGAGAGGGGCGATTGGGGGATAGGGATAGCGATATAACACACCCTGTCGGCACGTCACATGTCCCCTCTCTATCTATACCTCTGTCCTTCTCGCTCTCACCACCTTATGTACTTCCTGCCTTCAACTCACCCACACACTTTGCAGTTAGTCTGCCTTCGGTTTTTTCAGCACAGTTCCATTGTGTTATGGCCCTGCTTAAATATGAATTGTGTTGCAGTTTTTTGAGGTAAAACATACCTATGTTTTTTAGGGTATATTGGTTATTGTTAAATTATCATAAAAGTGTTAGTATAAGAGTGCAGAAGTTAGATAAAGTTAGATGTTAATAATGAAATTTATATATTTTGGGAATATATTTCAATGTTATGTTCATTTTTATCTAGGATATCTAAAAACCGAATATCAATCTTTCTACATTACCTATTTATGCTTGGGTATATTTTTCACTTTCATTGAAGGCTGGCTGCCAGAGGGTCCAAATAGAAAACCAAGGGAGGAAAAATTTAGAAAGACGCGTGACCAGGACGAGGATTCAAGCCAGTCGAAAGCCAAGCTGGCCCACACAACACATGGCTAGGTCGGCACAAATATGGTTTTTATGCCGGGTCATAAATGTCAATTCCCAATGCATGTTTGCCACTATTTAGATTCCTGCTTTACCATTCTTCATTTCGGTTCGTTTTTTCTGTTTTTTATAGTTTTATGGTCAGTCCCAGGTTTGTTGAACTTTACAATTGCTGAGTCATTTGGTCTGTCGCGTGCCTTGGCCCTGGAAAACCGGACGAGGAGGTGGCGGTTACAGCTGTGGGCGTGCCTGTGGTTAGTCAGCCCATGTGATGTGTGTGTGTTTGTGTCCTTGAGAGGGGGGAGAGAAAGTGTCAGTGGGAGTGGAATCCGGTAAGTGGGCAGAACAGAGCGAATGCACACAGTCAAGGAAAGGAAAAGTGTTTGTCTGGGCTGCCAGGGAATCGGTTCGAGACCAAAGTTGATGATAATGAGAACAAAAGAGCTTTTGTAGGGGGTTTCTGGGGTTGGTTTATGGCCATTCGAAATAATTGAATAATTGCTGCACGATGAAAATTGAGGAAAAAAGTGTTTTGTTACTCATGGCGAAATGATTGCAAGTTGGTTTTGATATGAGCTGCACCCACCAAATGCATTTGACATGGGGAGAGTCATATAAGTTAATGAAAAGGATCACACAAAATGCTGAAAGCTGTAATTTTGAATGACGATTAGTGTATTTTTCTTCTTGAGTCATAAATAATATTTGCTAAATAGGTATGAAAATTAAAAAAAGTAAAACATCTGAAGGAAGAGGGAAGTCAGTTATCCCTTTAGGACAACCCCGTTTATTTTTATTATTTTGATTGAGTCCAACGCGTCGCTGCGTCAGAAATTAAGTGGAAATGAAGTGAGCACTTGAATTTCAATTGGAGTGGCCTCAACCAAGCCAGAACTCAAGCCCATAACCCAAAATACAAAACCAAAGCTCCTGGTCCAGAAATCAACCCCAAGAGCATAAAATACAATTCTGGCCGAATTTCGGGCTATAAATAAGAGCCACAACGGACAAGACGAACAAAAGAATACATTATTCCCCACATTATTCCACTTTTTGCGGTTTGCCGGGGAAAGGGTTTCCTGCCGTTGGCCCCTGAAATTGTTTGACTAATGATTATTTAAGTGAATTACCATTAAGAGCTTCGCTCCGCTTCTCAGCTTCTCTCCGGGCAATTTGGCCTGGAGTGTAATTGTATAATTGTTGACGAATGCTTTTGCATTGTTTCTTGCCTCTCCCTTTTTGCCAGCTCTCCGGCTTATTAATATTAATAAAGTTGATTAAAAGGCTTACACAGAAAACTAAACAAAGACACACTTATGGCTCAAAACACACTTTAAAGTGTTTGCAAATAATTTTGCTGGTTTATATCCCTAGAATTTATTTTTAATCTTAAAAGGAGAAATACTAAATTTATTTGTAGCTCCACTTAAAGACCTTTTCTAATTATAAATATTAATTATTTCTTATAAAAAAAGGCTATTAACTTAGTGTCAATCCACTCCCTAAACATCGCCACATTCGTGTAGGTTCCTGGCATATCTTTCTGGCCACATCCCATTCCCCAGTTCACAATGCCAATCTGCTCGTAGATTCTGGAACTTTCGGCGCCAATAGAGCAAAATAGCGCAGATCCTCCATCTCCTGTGCAAGCATCCTGGTTAGCCTCTCCTCCGGCACAAATAAGACTCTGGGCAAGCTCATAATTCCATCCCAAAGCAGTTTTCCTCAGCTGTTCTTGACACCAGCTTCTGTCTACCATGGGCAAAACCACTTTTTTTAGAACGGCTGAATATCCTACATTCCAGAACTGTTTCTTTCCCCAACCGGTAACGATACATTGACGATTGGCGTATGATGTTCGTGGCGTTGGCAAACATATAGTGTTGATATGTTCACCTAAATCGTACGGCTTTTTGTAGAAAGAGTAGAGCCACGTTATTATCACCAGCAGTATAATTGAATTTCGTGGATTTGTGTCCTCTCTACTTGTCTCTCTCTTCAAATGAAAGTCCTCCGTTCGGTGTTCATATCCCATTCGCTAGCTCTAACTACCATATCATTTGCATTTTTATACACTACGATATGAGCTGATGCAAGGACAACATCCCGCCTAATTAGGGGATCCGCTTCCAGAGAGATCGTCATTGATGAAAAGAGCCACTACCCAAGGATATTGGGGCTTTGGCGTCACCTGTGACAGGTATTAATTGAAAATCCAAGCCATTTGATTGACCATGCCACATTCCCTCTTTATTTTTAGAAGGACCTTGGGGTGGTTGTGGATTCTGTCAACGAAAAGAAATAGTTGATTTTTAATCAGAAAATCCCGATTTTCATAAACTTACTTCTTCTGGAATCAGATAAATATTCTATTAATAATTAAATGTTTTATCATCAAGCTGAATTTTTCAACACATTATCTTCAAGAATACACAACAAACATTGATCAGGCAATCACGATATTGTAATCAGAAAATAGTTGCCTCTTGCTCTTTTACTGCTCCTTGGAACTGCAATGTATGCAGGCATTGCCCAAAAAGCACATTCTAAAAGAAGAGCCCGATCGCCAAGAACCGCTTCATGTTTTCCGCTTCAAACTCAGACTGAGACTGGCATTCCAAATAACCTCCTTTCTACATCTCTTGTAACCACATCGTTATCACCCGAACGTTATCAAATAGGAATTCCTATTTTTGTATATTTTTTAAAATGTTATTAAATTAAAATATGATTAATGGGGTTTTTATTATTATTATTATAAAAACTAAGTAAATATTTTAAATGATACAGTTGCTAAAGGAAATTGCATAAAAAATGATTTCAGTTTTTGATAAAAATAATTAGAAAATAAAAAAAGTATTAATTTATATATATATTTTTTTTTTTTTTTAGGGAATGACAAAAAAAGTGTTTCAAGATAAATTAATTTTGTCAGAAATTAAGTTAATATAAATCCATTTATTACTAAAGCTACCTACCATATTAATCACTGAGAGTGGGCCGTAGTTTGGAACAAGCTCACTGCATAGACTTTCAAAGCTCCATACAAGGCCAAATTCATTCACGCTGGAGCAGCGGACTAATTCTTGATAAATTGTGATTTAGACCGGTTTCTGGTCTTGGGGCTTGGTTGGAAGCTAGATGCCCACCCCAGCGCAATTTCCCATAAACCCAGGCGTTGCTACGAAGCAGATTGCATCGGTTACAAGTGAAGCTTCCAATGAACACCCGTTCCCAGGCCTCTGTTGCAGTTCTTAACTGCCCACCCCAAATCGGGCATAGCATGTATGACAAAGTAATCAGGAATGCGGCCCGAGATAAAGCACAAATTATTGGAGTGGTAAATTGAGGTATAGCATTGTTTTACACATTATAGAACTGAAACAAGCTCAGTTGACTAAGTTTTACTTGGATTTTTGATAAAAATACCACTTACTTAACAGTTAATTGCAGTTTAGTTATCATAACTTAGCATAATAAATGAACATAACTTAATTTCGATAATTTAAATCAATTTATAGTTAAACTTCTTCAAAAGCTTTCTAGGTCATAAATCCCTTTATTTTCGCCTGTCTTTGGATCTCTCAACAAAACATGACAAACTCCAGGGAATATAGCCATGCCTCTCGGTTCTCCTGTCCCGAAATCCCCAATCCCAGATCCCAGTCCACCGACCAAGCAGACCAAGTTTGATGGAGCATTAAGCACTTTCTCAGCACTGCTTGTGGAAGCAGTTACACCTTCTCTTCAAAGCAGCCTTTGCACCTATCTTAGCCCCACCCGCCTCCCCACGCACCATAACACCCTCCCGCCCTCTTGAAGCCACACTCCCAAGGCAATCATTGCTTGGCTTATCAGTTTTACAATCACATTTTGACTCAATTTTTGGTACATTTGTGTGTATTGCCTGTTTATAAATCCAACCAAGACGCCCGATAATCCTCAATTCGGCTGCCCACTTTAAAGTGGCGGTTGCAGAAGCGAGGATGGGGGCCAGAGACAGAGCCATGGGAAGAGAGGGCTGTAGTAGGCGCACCTTCCCATCGTCGCTTGTGATAGCTTGACATGTGTTTCGATACCGAATACATATTCTCCAGAAGACCTTGCTGCGGTCAACGTGTTTTAATTTTTATTGTTCTTTGCAGTTCAAGTTGATCTATTTTTTTTTTTTATTGCCTGGGGAGAGAGAAACAGCTGATGAAATCAATTAGTAAGAGGAAAACACACAGCAAACTGAACCTTCCTGGACACGTGTCATGAGAATCATCTTTGCTCGGCTTCTATTCAAAACCATATCATTATTATGAGTTATTTTTGTGTACTATGGTGAAACTGATTATATAGTAAAATTGATCAAATTTGAAATATTTAAACTTTAAAATATAAACTTTAGCGCTCAAAAAATAAACAAGCAAATTGAATTAAAAAAAAACCAGTGAGTGGTCGGAAGTTAACGTCTCCAACAGATTCCCATGTAATTACCGGAAGCCAGTAACCGGGTGATGTAACCACTCATCGGCTCCAGATTTTTTTTTGCTCAAACAACACACAAGCGCACGTCGACTGCCGCGGTCCTTGGAAAAGACAGGACTCTGGTCCTGGAAGATGAAGAAACCATAATAAAGCAATGGAGACAGAAGGGAAA